TCTCGTCGCCACTGGGTTCTATGCTGTGGGATGACCTAAAGGACCCCGTCTACGCGGACGAGCCAGCGAACCTCAAGAGGTCATGGTCCCTTCAGACTTCAGATGGGACGCATCACCGTTGACAAGATTGACATTATATCCGACCTGCTGGAGCTGATTCAGCTCTGGCGCATCTCTGAACGCCAGGGGACAGACTAGAGCCTCATTTGTGGTCACTTTTTGACGGTTGTGAAATCTCTTTTTACCAGTGTCACTGCTCCTACTTGGCTATTGAATGTATAGGGAAATGCTAATGATGCCAACAATGCAGTTGTCTTTTTCAAGAAAACCTCAGTCAACGTTTATCTTGGCCACCCTGCACTTTGAAAAGCTGCCGCATATTACGATCCATTTTTTTTGTCCTGATGTGCCTGTGTTATCTCAAGAACACCTGCCAACGTTTGTAAACTGGCTCATCATGCGGGGAGCTTGGCGTGAGCAAAACACCAGGCACCTACAGCATACTATTTTGCACAAAATGAGCATGATCTAGCAGCGACGTGTTTAGGTACATAGTGCAGCAGCAGTTTAGAATAACTTGCTACATTTCGTCGGACCGGTACTCCTTTTTTGCTCATATGCATTGGGAGAAGGGGTCTGAAGAACATTTAGGGCTTCAAGTCAGGAGACCACCAAAAGGATGCAAAGTGACGCCCCTGAATACAGTAGTTAGAATTGGTACAGTACGAATTAGGATGGGTGCCGATCCACACACTTAGGTCCTTCCCTGCCGATAGCTACCAAGCCACTAACGAGGAATCTATCCTGTATGTATTCATGGGGCCTTACGTTCACCTTGGGCTGAGAGGCCATACCTGATTGCCCTGGTGCCTGGACCTCAAGATCTCAAGTTGTGCATGCCCTCTGCGCAGGTACCGGCCAGAGGGTGGGATGGCATGCCGGGTCCTATATGACCGGCTGGAGGGAGGGGCGCGGCCCCACCTCCTCGAGTACGCGGCCATGAAGTGAGGGTCGGGTGATTACACTCCTGCATGTCCATGTGCTCGGAGCCTGTGGGGCGTGCCAGTGACCCGTCCGTAGCCTGGCAGGGCGGGGCCGAGCCATCAGAGGCCACAGGCAGGGGCGGGGCCGTACCGACTGGAACGCTAACCTACCGTAGAGCTTAACAGCCCTACGGTTTCCAGAACAACGAAAAGATTGTGATTCTTGAGATCAGTATTCCGAACCGAGCCCATGCAAGACGAAGCACCGTTGCCACTTGCATATCTGAGGGTCAGATTCGCTACGCTGTTACGGGCATGCTATGAATGCTGCGCTGAAATGTAGGTACTGTGCTACGTACAGGCTTGATCTTTCCGGTCCTTCCCGATCAGGTGAGTCATTTGCTAAACGAATGTAACGGCAAGTGAGCAACCGGCAATAGCCATGATGCAGCACAAATCAGGACTGTTGTTGAAGTTCCTATATAATTTCTTGACAGGTTCAGTTATAGAGAGAGAGAGAGAGAGAGAGAGAGAGAGAGAGAGAGAGAGAGAGAGAGAGAGAGAGAGAGAGAGAGAGAGAGAGAGAGAGAGAGAGAGAGAGAGAGAGAGAGAGAGAGAGAGAGAGAGAGAGAGAGAGAGATATATATATATATATATATATATATATATATATATATATATATATATATATATATATATATATATATATATATACATGTATATATATTCTAAGGTTGTCACCATGTGCAAAATGGACTAGCAACGAAACAAACTAGACAATTCGAATGCCTGAATCCAAATGGAGTGGGCACAACAGCTATATCTGGTATATATTTTGCCCATGGGTCAAGTAGTTCGCTTGCGCCCGCGTTTTTCCGGTGGCAGACAAACACAGCGACGACGGAGGGTGAGCCAGCATCGGCCGCTGCTAACAGGCGTAGCCACGTTAGGAGCGAAACAGCAAGGGAAAGACCATTATCACTTTTGGATAGGCCTGCATTTCACTTCAGCCCCACAGCGAGGCATGTAAGAATAGGTCGAGGCCGTCCTTTCCTCTTCACCCAACTTTTTGGAAACGTAACTCCAGAACGTGGGCGTTACCAAGAGCCCTTGGGATCAAGTGGAATATAAATATGAAATGTAGTATTAATTGGGCGGGGCCAAGCTCCAGAAATGTACAGCTTCCCAAAGCGACATATCAAGATGGTGTTGGTATTAATGCAAGATCATCTAGCAGCAACTACACCTACTACGCATCACTCTCCACCCATGTCTTTAGGGCGTACTTGGATGTTCTGTCTGCATAACAAAAGAGAGCTGCTTTCTATTCTAAACTGCTTTACACCATGCACGTGGTCGTGCTTGTCATACGTGAAAATACCCTGCCTTGTCTCTAGCACATATCTGTTGTCAGAAATTTTCAACCCTGCCATGAAGAGGTGATGCCAGTCGGCCGTTACCATGCGTCAGATGGCAGCACTGTCGGGTGATGCCGGAATAACGAACAGAGGGAGCTGTGCACATTTAACTTCCATGCAACGCCATAGGCATATTGTCGTATTTCGTAATCACCTGGAAGGGGGGAGGGGGGGGGATGCGGACGCGCGCTTCCCTTCCCACGCCCGGCTGGCACCGTCATCACGCGTTTCATACAGACTGAGCTTCACAGATTCCTACAATGTCGCGCGCCCCACAAAACGGAGGCCGGCCACGCTGCAAAATCGCGGCGGCGTCCTTCTTCGTGTTCCTTTGTCATGCGTGCTGATCCCTCTAAGCTATAACGAGACAGGGCCGCACTTGTGGAGCCTGTTCAGGGACCGCAGTCGTGGCCGCCGGAGTACACCGGCGCCGCCGCCGCCGCGCCGAACCCAGCTGTGCTCTCGGCAGCGCGGTGGGCGCGCTGGCCGCGTCTGTCGGCCGTACTCAGCTGTCTGGCGAGCCCGGCTGGCCGGCCCGCCACTGCGAGCTGTTTGTTCGTAGCGGCCACACTCTGGTGCGTGCTGCTGCAACGTCGATCATTCGCTGCGCAGGCGCACACCGCTGCAGCCGCAAGCCAAAGCCGCAGCCACTGTCGGTGAGCCGACTGTCGCGACACGGCCACTGGGTTCGAGGCGAACGAAGCCTATTCAGTGCACTGCGCTAATCACCCCGGCTCGTGGAATCCTGCAACCCAACCTTTGATCACCACGTGATGGAGGAGCTGGCCGATACGGCGGTGCTGCTGCACTATTGAGCAGCGCGGGTCATTACCATGTTGCTTTGAGTGGACTAGATGCGCCCGCCAGGCACAGCTAAGCATTCCACAAGTTCTCACAAATACAATGGACATAAAACCATGCAAATATATTAACAAACGTAGCTTTCTACAAATAATACATAAATGTACATAATTCAAGTCGAGACACCATTTTCCGGAGCCGATTCTTCAGAGGGCATCGGCGACCATTTGTTTGCAAAGGTACTGAGTGAACCCCCCATCCTATGGCTACAGGAGGGATTTTGATATATGCAATATTCACAGAAGCTTCGATAAAACTAGGCGCTATTAACTGGTAACACGTGTAACACGAGCGAACGATTGCGTACTCAACAGTGTAACGTACTCAAAGCTGCATCGTAACAAAACAACAACAGGCATTAAAATCGACCAACACAACAACGACGTGGTATCAGGGTTGGGTGAGAAGATAGCCGCCTATCCATGCCTACGAAGCATAACAAAAACGAGCACCACAACTGGCTAGGCCTTGCGTGAAAAGCCACGGTGGTCCTCTCTCCACCATTACACACACTCTTTCAGCACCAATGTGCGATTTGTTATATGACACCTCTCCAGGGAAGCGCAATGTGACCTGGCGCTGCGAGCGCCGGTCAGTTACCCGAGCCGCTGTGCGGGGTGGACACGCCTCCCCCTCGCCTCGTCCGCGCGTCACCCCGCTCGCCGACCGCCGGCGGCAGCTCGGCGGCGCCCCCCTCCACAGCGGCGCCCGAGCACGACCACAGGGCCGTAGTGGCGCACAGCAGCGGCGGCAGAAAGCGAGCCCCGACGGCGCGCCGTGTGCCGGGTCTAGGAGCCTGACGCTCCGGCGCGCTGCAATGGCGGGAGCGTGCCGCTGCCCCTCCCAGCAGGGCTGCGTTCTCGGCTGGGGTGACGTCGGCCGCGACACGAGGCGGTCGACGGCTCCGACGGAGGACGCCCTCAGTGTCGGGCCCACCCCGAGTACCTCACACACGCAGCAGTTCACCACGCCGAGGCCCGGCACGGCTACAGAGCAATTCAGACACGCCGTCTACACAGACACTGACACAGACACGGTGTAACGGAGCTGGTGGCGGGGGCGCCGCCGGCTGAGGAGGATGCGAGCGTCCCGTGCGTCCCCACAGTAACCCGTACTAGACCGACTCGCCAACTGGCACTCACTTTGAACACAAAGGCCCGAGACGCTGGTGCGACGCCATCACGACCCCAGGAGCACCGGTGGCGGCCGGCTGCCCAGCCTCGAGCGGTACCGACCTGTGGTTGCGACCCGGGCAGGCTGCAGCCCGGCACCGCGGATCAGACTCGGACGCGGACCAGCCGGCGGCCCGTGCTCCGCTGCGGCGAGCGCCCGGACACGCACAACACACTGCCGCTACGCGACGTGCCAGGTAACACCACACACGCGCGCGCGCGCGCGCACACACACACACACACACACACACACACACACACACACACACACACACACACACACACACACACACACACACACACACACACACACACACACACACACACACACACACACACACACACACACACACACACACACACACACACACACACACACACACACACACACACACACACACACACACACACACACACACACACACACACACACACACACACACACACACACACACACACACACACACACACACACACACACACACACACACACACACACACACACACACACACACACACACACACACACACACACACACACACACACACACACACACACACACACACACACACACACACACACACACACACACACACACACACACACACACCGCTGTCACACAGCGAGCACCATGGTAATGCCACAACACGGCCATTTCCCACGCTCGGTGAAATGCCCTCCGGGCAAACCCGGCTTATCTCCAGTCTATGGTAACGCCTCGCGGTCCGATCCCGCTGCGCCCGCCGGCCGGGCCGGCCGCAGGGAGGGCGCAGTGTCGTCATTGGGCCATCGGCAGCCGCCCCGTGTCGTCGACTCCAGCGGCCGTCCGACTGTTGCGGGCTCGTCAGTCCGCCGGTGCCGGTCCAGACCAGCGGCGGGACCGCCTGAAACATCGAGCACTTGGCGTGAGACCCCGAATGAGCCCCGGGTGACCCCCGAATGAACACCAGACGCCCTCCAATGTTCCTCGGACGCAAGCGTCAGACTCCCCACGTGATCGCGTAAGACTCTCCGCTTTGGAGGACGATGCTCCGCTGTTACGGGCACGTGACTCCCCACGCAAGGGTGGGAAGCTCTACCGATGCAAAGACGAGGCCTTCTGAACACAAGCACGATGCTTTCCAATTTCAAACACGAGACTCCCCGGATACAAGCACGACACTCCCCGGATACAAGCACGAGACTCCCCGGATACAAGCGGAAGACCCTTCGATGCATCGCTGTGCTGGCTGTCGATTGCATCAATACTGCCTTCCGTACACGTATTATGTTCCGTGCAGCCGCCTCGCTGGACAGCGGTCTTCAAATTTTTGTCTCATGCCACCGCTCAGGTGCAGCCTCCCATTTATTCCACAACTCTAAGTTGCCAAGCATTGCAGCTGATTGAATAAACAAAAAAGAAAATGGAGCATATATATTTGAATGAATTTTTATTGAGTCTGAAGCCTGCGGTGTTGCAGCTTGCAAAACATGGATAAAGCTGAACAGATTTCCCCCATGTTCTCAGGGGCGGCGTCACTGGGCGGAGAGGCTGGCCTTCGCCTGGGTGAACACATCTGTTTGCTCACCATGACATTTTAGGATGTGGCGCTCTCCTCTCAAAAGCCGTGGTGGGTGGAGCGTACATAGCTGCTGGCAATGTCCGATCGGAGGGCCCGCCAGCGACCGATGGCGTAATGTAATGATGCAGAGCGGTGCCAGTTTTCCAAAGGTCGGGCAAAGAACACAAAAGCAACCTTGCCATCGTCGGGTGCTTCTAAAATTGGCGCTTTGGCATACTTGGCTCACCATACGAGGCCCCGTTGTCCGTGTGCTAGTCGCGGACGCCTCCTGGCTGCGAACGATCCGTTGGCGCTATGTGCTGTATATTTTCGTCAAACTTTAATTCATCATATGATGATAATCCTCGTTAGTTATCTCGCCATTTTACATGGATTTCATTGTTCCACCGAGGGTTTTGAAAACGCAATCAACAAACCAAACGGTGGAAAGTTGGGTGACGACACAAAGTTGAAGACCACTGGTGTAGATCAATGGAGCACGTTCGCCGTCATCGTTTAGAAGAAAATTGCTTCCTCTAATAATCATTAATCCTCAGCTCTCATCAAAGCACAATCCATGCAGGCAATAACGTGCATCGAACATCGGAAAAAATGACCCGCCATGCTATTGAGACACATTACTGCCTGCAGCCATCAGCTTACTCCGGCACATAATCTGCCCGCGGAAGTCCAGCTGCCAACGCCGTTAACCTGCCGCGTCATGCCAGCGTCCCTTCCAGGTCGTCCCACCGTACGGTGCGGGCTCAAACAAGAACATTCGCAACATAGAATCTGCGCTTTTTGCGGCGGGCATACTACACCCCGTTAACCGCGTCACGACTTGTGTCTGCTTTCCGGTCGCCTGAGTGAACCGCCGGAAACGGTCCCATGACCTCGCGAACCGGTCGGTCGTGACCCCCAGTTTGACCGGAAACAATGCTAGCGGCCCCACAAGGACGTCAATTTGTCGCCCGCTCAATGTCGTGACGCGGACTGGAGAGCAGGAGAGGCATTGCAACTGGGCACTGCGCCCACTGCACACTGACGAGATGGAGAACTGCAGATAATGTGCCTATCACGACCGACACGGCCTGGTGGCCCGTGACCCGGCCCTCCTTCAATCAGGCCGACGATAGTCCACATAGTATTCCTCAGCTGCTTTCTGGTGAAAATACAGTCGTGGATCTGGTTTTCCAAAAACGACAATTGTAAGTCATACTACTGCAATATCACACATCTGTTTATACATTTTGAAACAATTTTTCCAGCCTCCAAGCTGGGCTTTTTTGAGAAGACACCGTAATTCTTCCTTCGAATGTTGCTTATGAGAACAAATTAGTTGAAAGAAATGCACAAACCCGTATAGGGTGCAACAAACCCTGAAAGATAAAAACGGACACATAGGAATAACTTATTGGTTCAACACAGCTTCAGAACTGCATGATTTATTTGCACTGTGATACAACACAAGAGCGATTATTTTTGCGCGGCGACCAGGTGTTCAAAGGTAGCCGTTCAATGACACCTGTCAAAAGTGCTCAAAGCTATGGCGCAATCAGTAACACTCATTTTTACTCAAGTCTGATATCGTTGACATTATTTTTGGTCATGATGAAATTTGTGGGAAATACCTGTTGACAACGCTTAAAGTTTATTGTGAAATCAACTCAGTATCGCGACAGTTCCCCTGCGATCGACGGGGGCTTCCGTTCCTCCCATGTGAGCAGGGACATTTAAAGACTGGGCGCTTCCGTCTCACATCAGATCCAGGGCGATGCCTGCACCACCCCAGGCCTATGTAACCTCTCAGTGTTAAGCTGTGCTCTGTACCGCCCTGTTGTGCCGGGCGGCCGGGCGGCCGGGCGGTCGGGGCGGAAGGAGCGAAGGAGCGCCGCCGCCGCTGTCACGTCGATCCCACGTCACAGGCGGCCCCGACGCCCGCCCTTTCAGCCGAGTGGGTGGCGCCGGGCCATCCATCCACCCACCGGGTCGGACCGGGCGCCGCCGACCGATAAGCCGTGCCGACGTCCTGTACAAACAGATGTGCGGCCGCCGAGAGGGCCGCCGACTCCGAGGCTGAGGGCCAGCTGTGCTCTCATGATCGCTGACCTGAGTCGCTCGGCCGCCCCACCCCGCCGCTCTGCCGGCCGCTTAGCCGCCCCGGGACCACCGACCTCAAAAGGGCGGCGCGAAACCCTTCAAGGAACTTCGGCGTGCAAACTGTTGCCAGAAGACTTCAAAGGGTATAATAGCTTATGCAACGGGAACCAATGAGAAAAGTTGTCTACGCGGAAGCTGCAACAACTCTGGTCATGTATCCCGTACTACGTGTTACGTCACGCATCCCGTACCCAAAGTTCCCGAGTCCCGTGCCCATTTGTCGCCGTGTCCCGTGTCCTGTATCACGTGCCACATGTCCCGGGTTCAGCGTCCCGTGTGCTGTGTCCCCGTATTCTGTATCCTGTGCCCTATATCCCGTATCCCGTGTTCTGTGTCCCGTGTCCCGCAATCCATGTCCCGCGTCCCGTGTCCCATGTTCCGTGTCCCATGTCTCCTCTCCCATATTCCTTGTTGCGTGTCCCTTACCCCTTGACGCTTGTTCGCTGGACCAACAGATGACCCGCCGACGGCTGCTCACCCGGGCGCGAACCACAAGTCCTGCCCCATGTCGGCTACTCACCCGGACACGAGACGCACGTCCTGCCCCATGTCGGTTGCTCGCTCAGACACGAGCAACAAGTCCTGCCCCATGTCGGTTGCTCACCCGGAGACGAGCAACAAGTCCTGCCCCATGTTGGCTGCTCACCCGGACACGAGCAACAAGCCCTGCCCCATGTCGGCTGCTCACCCGGACACGAGACGCAAATCCTGCCCGATGTCGGCTACGCACCCGGACATGAGCCGCTAGCCCTGCACCATGTCGGCTGCTCACCCGGTCACGAGCCGCTAGCCCTGCACCATGTCGTCCGTCTCGTGTCGCGGCACGTCGAATATCTCGGCGAACAGGGCGGGCAGCTGCAGCTGCCGCCAGCGGCTGCGATACCAGTTGAGCTGCTCGCCGTGTCGCCGGCCCAGCGCGTGCAGTTCGGGAAGTTTCAGCAGCAGCGTGTTGTAGATGTTCTGCTCGGACACGTGGTTCCTTGCCAGCTGCAGACAAAGCGGGGTCACCAGAACTTGAGCGGCGAGCGAGATTGATCACGGCAGGACATCAGGTCATCCGACACTCGACGCCACACGCGTGTGTGGTGGAACTCGGGAGGAGAAGCACCTCGGAGGTCAAATGGGCGTGCACGAGATGCCATTGGAGGGAGAAGTTCACACCATGACATGACATCGTGCACCGGGGTCATTAATAAGGTCATGCTTTGCGTTAAGTGAGATATGGTCATTTGAAAAACCATTCTTTAAAAGCTACCGCTAAAATCGGTTCCGCATTATCTGATGAACTACAGGATGAGGCTCAAATGACTTGGGGAGGTGAGTATATATGTTTAAGAAACGAAAGGCGTTTTTGATAAGCAAGTGTTGCATTTTAACGTCTCTCTGCTCATAATGACAAAGTCAAAAAGAGCAGGCTAACACCGAAGGGTACACAGGTCACGACCCAGCACACAGAAGTCCGCAACCTCAACCCATCTAGCATAGTGCTTCATCATAACATGTCAGTAAGCCGGCTTCGAATAAGTAGGGGTCTCGGCTCGAATCCCGACAGGTCCTATATTTTGTTCTAGTCTCCGGCACGCTAAGTCGCCGATCAGCAAAGCCCGCTATAGGATGGCCTTGCACGCGCAAGCTAAGCTCAGCCCCAGATCGCGTGATCTGTTGCGAGGGGAAAAATGGTTCGCGACGGACAAGAAGTAAGAACTTGGGAAATGCTGGCCGCGCAAAATTACGGACTTGGAAAATATCGCCGGAAAAGCTACACACTCGCGTGCTGAAGGCTTCGATAGGTGACAGACGCGTTTCGGTAGGGTGGCGGTGTACGGGCCAGCCGGTTCCGTCTCTGTTGTCATGGGTGAGGCGTCTTGCGGTCGATGCGAGTGATAAGCCTAATGGGGCTGGACAGATGATCTGGGTGCCGTAGACGTAAGATAGCCGTCATGTTCACATCCTCCGGTGATCAGACGTTAACTTTCTTTGCATTAGGTGTTGTGCACAGTTTACGTCGCCCCATTGACTGTGCGGTGTCGAGCGAAGACAATTACGGTCCGTAGTGGTGCGTGCATGGTGCCCGGGGCCGCGGGCAGCCGGGCTGGGCAGTAGCTTGGTAACAGGGCTGTAACGGGTTATGTAGTAGATTAAGTTTGTCATCCCAACTCTACTTCCTGTAACGTAAACGCTATTCAAAGACGTCACACCATCACACCCTTCGTCACGATGTGACGGGTATTGCTCATCGATTTCAGCGATGTTTGATCGTCCGCAGGGAAACTGGTGCACAGCGATCAATCGTCTGGCAGACGGTCCAAGTTTTCAGCCACAACAATTTAGGAAATTTGATTACGATGTAATTACAGCACACGATAAGGTTGTGCTGCGGATGACGGCCATCAGTTCGATAATACCTGAGCCTAGCGTTCTGTTTGTGGTTTCTGTTCGTGTGATTTAAAACCAGAAGCGATAGGCCGCTTACGCTCACCGGGAAGTCCGGTAATGCGCAAATCCATACTGCAAATTCAGCCTGTTTCCAGACGGCCATGCCTGACAAAGCCGACCGTAGTGACCAATACGCTGCCGTCGGCTCTCCTCAGCTCCCCAGCAATGTCCTCAACGTCGTAACATACCACACCAGCCGGTCAGTCACGTGACCCAAGTGGAAAGGACAACTGAGCGTTTATAAAGAAAACATCTCCGCCCGACCTTGCGACGAAAGCCAGCTACCGGGCCTACCGCAAACGACCGAGCGCCGGCGCCGGCGCCGCCCGCACCGCATCCGGACGAGAGGCGTAACGTGTAACGCTAATGTGTAATAGGTATGATGGTGTAACGCTTTGGAGTAGCATTTGTGTTACAGTGCGTAGAGGGTGGTTGAATGAGCCCGCATCTGCCGAAAACCATCAGGCACCAAGCAAGCTATGCACGCCAACGAACGGCCAGCAGCGCACGCTCACAGGAGCGCCGCTATTATGCCGAAATATCACAAAATTGTACATGACGCCTGCCGGATTTCGAGTAGCTGGTCAGAAAATTGTACTTATAACAAAGTATCAGCCAAGTTGAAATGGAAAATTTGTGTGCTGTAGAACGATGGCTGCATAATTGGTAGCGTTAACTGTTTCCGACGCTAATGCAACGGACGCTTTGACGCTCAAATGGCAACACATGATTTGGAATGTTTTGCTATTTTTGGAAGGTTTTGATTGGTCCAATGCTCATTGCACAACTTGAATCTATAAGAACTAGCACACATCGAGCGCATCTCAGCAAGACTGAGCAGTTAGTTAGCCATATATTATCAGCAGCCCCAATGCGGTTGGCTTCATCCATCCCTCTCTTTCCCTCGCCCGCCCTCTTCGCCACATCCGTTCCTCATGCTAAAGTTCTCTCCCCCCGACCTCATCTTTAATTCCCTGTCTCTTCTGCTCCCAGGTCGCTAAACAGCGTCGTCGCTCCATGTCCCTGCACACCTGTATCTTCATCGCCGTCGCCCCATGTCCTTGCGCACCTGTATCTTAACAGCGCCGTCGCCCCATGTCCCTGCGCACCTGTATCTTCAGCGCCTCTAGCAGCTTCTCGCGGTTGGCGTCGATCAGCTTGTGGTTGGAGACGCCGTCCCGGTCGGAGGCCATCAGTGCCACTGAGCAGAACAGGGCGACCTCGGTGTCGTTGAGGTTCAGCGCGTTCAGGCCCACGCTGAAGTTGAACAGCGCCGACGTCATCTCACTCTGCGGACGACGCGGACCCGGGTTAGTACTGGTCGTGTGCTGGCCGGAGCCCTCAGCTGCGGCGGGATAAATGCCCCGACTGACGGATGGTTGCTATCATTGCCTTCCCACCCCAAACACATCGTTGGTTATGTGACTGCTCGGAGTCCATACTCTGTGGGCAGTGTTATACACTTTTTAGTCCAAACGCATACCTAGGGTTCGTATGCATGCGCAAGGAAGATAAATTATTGATTGTTTATGTTAACATTAAGTGGAAAGCCAAGAAACACTGTTTCCCAATTCTGTCATATTGCATTGATAATTCCTCTCTTTCTCTATCTTCCTCCCTTTCCCTCTCTTCGCTTTCTTATCGGCGGTGTCTCTGTGCCGCCTGCCGCTCGTTGCCTGCCCGAGCTCCCTGCTCGGCTTCGTCGCCGCGTGCGGAGGCGGGTCTCCGGCGGCGATCGGCCCCTCACGTTGAACATGGCGTCAATGTGCTGCCGGCTGATGAACTGTCCGTCCGAGAAAGTGATGCTGCCTTCCAGTGGATTGACCAGCCGCGACACGTGCGCCAGCCATACGTCGAAGAAGCTGGACTTGATCAAGATCAGCTGGTCGTCCTGGCTCAGTTCCAGGAAGCCTGATAACAGAGCAGAGATCCGTCAGCATGACTCCCGCCGGCGGTCGTCGGCGGATCGAGCAGACACTGTTATCTACAACAAAAGTGAAACGACATATGAACGCAATGCACGGGAGCATATTGAGCTGTATGACTTCCATCAGCTAAGATTTCTTCTCCAAATAAGGATCAATGAACGAAATACAGTCGGGCAAGAAAGGGGAGCAGAGGAAGTGAAACTGGGCTAGTGCGTCTGCGCAGATTTCAAACAGTGCATCAAGTTCTTTTTATTCAGGTCAGATCTCAACACAAGAAGCAAGCAGGAGCATCGATTCTGAAATTTGCTTTTCGTAACGCTTTGGTTGCAAAATCGCAACAACACGCTGAAGTGTCCCCGGTGTCCCACCATCGCACCCAATAGCTGACCCAGTGCTGCGGCTGCGCAGTACGACCTACAGCCAGCGCCCGGTGCGCCGCGTCGGCCGGCAATGCACGTCCCATCTGAGCCTCAAGTGCATGCGCTCCACGGCGGCCACCTGTGCAGGCCCCATTATTTCGCTGTGCATCGATTACTTGCCAGAACCGGAGTGGGTGGACGAATGTTTTTCCCACACGCCCCTCCCGGTAATCGCTTCTGACAACACTCGAGATCGGTGGGGCTTTGAGAGCGGGGGGAGGGGGGGGGGGGGGGGTAGGAAGCACAGATGCTTCCTGTGGTGAAAAACACAGATGTCCGTCAGCTGACATAATTCCGATGGTGTTAGGGCACTAGCTGAGCCAAAGCAAACACGCACTAACTGCAAGTCATCCTTCTAGTCCGCCTGCCCGCAAGTCATCATTACGGAACGATTCTTGGGGTGCAGATCAGGCGACCACGGGGATGCCGGGTCGGCTCATGCCACGGCAAGAATCACTAGAGAAACCAACTTATCAGGCCATTGTGAGGATATGCCAAGTTATCTCTCAGATTATCCATTATTACCTCTAAAACTATCTCAGAATGGCTTAAAACATTCTAGGCAATCCCAAAATATCCGAAACACATTGCCCCTTTCACGAAAGGAATATTAAGCAGGGATCTAATTTAGCATCAACCTTGAAAATCCCGAATGATAAGACCAACTGGGGCGAAACCCACCGTTTCTCGTTAGGCATACCAAAATAGCCAGTAACCTTCATTGCGCCGGCGTTTATGTTCCGTTGTCATGTATCTATTTGAAGCGATATGCTATTCATATCGTTTTGACCAGTACATACAATGAGATGCATGCACCTGAATGATGACGTCACGAGCTGGGAGTGTTGGGCCGATCGAGAACACCGTCTGCGGCCATCGGTATTAAATTATGAGAAGATCAGCAGCGTAGCGGAACAGGCGCAGCGCAGGGCCACCGCGGCGGGATGCCAGAGGAATGCACGGAGTGGAGTACCGGACGGATTGGTTGGCTTTGATCTAGAGTCACCGTGCCACAAGCGCCGCAGAACAGATGTAATAGAGGTTTTCAAGTCGTCTTCAGACACTGACAAACTCTAAGTTAGCAAAACATGTTTGCTTTTGATCGCCTTTAACTTTGAAATAAATATAATTTCAAACATAATAATAGGATCATGCCGAATGTTGCGGCACGCAAAACCTCCGCTACCAAAGTCCGTCATTGAGCTGGAATTTCGCAATCGGATGGTGGGGGACAGGGCCTACACAACAATCCCTTCTTGGCGTGAGCTTGTCACCCAAAATATGTCCTTTCAAAATGTTTGGAATAAATCTTTTAAAAAATACCCTTATGGGAATCACGAAAGGAATCCGATTGTGGCTTCTCGAAAGCAGTCTGCTATGAAATTCTTCTAATAGTTTTTGCTAAATTAGGCCTGGAACTTCGTCTAAACACCAGTGTGCTGTGCGGCGGTGTGAGCCAATACATGCGGACGTTCTGGGGTCACGTAATTTAATATATTGTTACATTGCGTACAATGAAAACGCGATGGCACAAATGGCTCTTCGTTGCACATCAAGCTTCTGAAAGTACATTTTTCGTCTCTAAGTCATCAAACAATTAAAAAAGAGAGGTATGCCAGATGATATTTTAGATATGATCAGATCGCATGTCGTTATTCAATGATACTCGACCCATGTGCCTGTCATCACGCACCCGTCGTAATCACATAGAGGAAATGGGAGCGATTTCGGCAGCGCCGCCTCTCGCCCCACCTGGTATCCGTTTGGCGAACTCGACCACCCTCTGTATAGATGGCGTGAGGAGCGCGGCGAAGGTCTGCCAAACGACGATGCGCCTGCGCTCGGCCGACTCTACCGTTGAGGTGGCGCCATCTGGCTCTCCCGAGGGCGTGGAGAAGTCCTGTTGACGGCCAGTGAGTGTCAGATGGTGACACCAGCGGCGCTCTGCTCAGAAAGGGAGGGAAGAGGAGATCGGCTCAGGTCACGCAGTGCCCCATACGGTGATTCAAGGCCTCTGACAGGAACGGACACATCACTGTCACTGCTAGCCAGAGCAGTTGGGAGACTGAAGATATAGAATCGGGTTTAACTGCTGTCTGGCTGTCTGAGATATTCATCATTTGGCGTTCTCTAAATCTCAACACATCACACTAACTTCCGCTGAAGGTCTTGCACGATGCTTAAATACCAATGGCAAAGGGGCCAGAAAATACACGGAATGATGGTCCCCACCCAGCATGCCGGACATATAAGGATGTGATCACGGTGTCTTCATCATAATTTGAATCCGCTGCGCTGAAATATGTCGTGCAGTGGCATGCAAAGTCATAATACACCAACAGCTGCACTGACTGCAACAGCTACACATTAACACCCGCCATCTGCACATGAATTGGACGGGATCACGTGATGGAGCCACATGAGTGCACAGATGTCGCTAAAAGCACTGCACACGGCAAGAACTGCGGAATGCACTGTCGTGCCCTGCCGCAGAACTGGGACGGCAGCCCGAGGCAGACAAACACGTTCTTGCTCAGCCCAGTCCATGTCTTCGAATACACGGTGTCACCCGGCGAGCCGTGCGGTGACGTCACAAAACCACGGTTCCGCCGTCGGCCTACTTACGAAGGCGACCGGCTTCCTGCTCAGTGACCGCGTCTTCTCTTCCGTGAAGGCGCAGTGGGCGTGGTGCGCTTGCGAAACCGTCAGAATGACGTCATATATGGCCAGCTGCTTGGTCTCGATGTCGCGTGATTGGTCGTCGTCGGAGCTGATGACGCGGCCGTCAAGCTCGCAGCGCTCTCGGCTCCGCTTGGGCACGCGGCCGTACCTGACGGCTGCCGGCGTGACGTCACGTCACGCCCCGTGCGGGCCCGACCAGGCGATTCACGCCGAGGTGATATCACTAATGCACAGTACAGGCCGGATAAAATCAAATAAAATATAGGGAGTAGGGAACAAAAGAACTACAGGGAACAAAGACGTGACATGTCTTAGTAAGCACTTAAGCGCATGTAAAATCCATTGACATCAAGCGCACAAGTGTCATCAATTGGTAACTGCAGATTTTTGGAGCTAAGTTAACCAGCTATCAATACGATAGAGCATGACTCGTTGCAAAGTTCACTTCACTCCGTTTTCTGCTTAGAACGTCTGAATTTAGGTTCAGGCGTGCAAAAACATGTTTTGTTTGCGCGTCAAACATGCAGCAAAAGACAGCTTAACATTGGCTGCCATATCTGCAGTGTGATTTCAGGCTTACCAAGCATGCATCTGAGCACTGATTCTAGGAGTTTTTATGCGAATAAATGCATGCAAATATGACAGAGAATTGGAATGCGACAAGCTTAATACTTACAGTCTCTTGACATCCCGACTGCCAGACATTTCTTGAATCTACAATATTGACATCTATTTCTATTTAATCTTATCACCAGACACTTTCCTTCTCGTAAACACCTGTACTCTATCTGCTTCTGTATACTTCTTCGGAAGAAACCCTGCAAAGAAGAGTGACGTAAGGAAACATTGCACGCTTAAACGACGCTTTACGTTCATGAACAGCTGTCTCAGTATAATAAGAAAATAGTCAAGCTAAGCAGTTCAGGCACAACAGTATGCATCATTCATTCAAAACTAAACGCAGTACTTCACGTTTGCATTACCTTGCGATAAGGATGAAGGAAAGAAGGGTTTGGTGGCAACTCAGAGCAAAAGGGAAAACTGGTTACAACTCGTTGTTGCCATTGAGGCTTTACGGCGTACTCAGCAGCTGAGACTTTATGGCGCCGTCAGTCTCTCACCTGGCAGGGGGGAACGACCGCGGGATAGCGAACCCCGTGCCTCTGTTTTCTCAAGATGCTACAGATCCTTATTTGTTGGTGACACTTTTCGGATGATTGTGATAATTTTATCCTGCATCGCACCACAACGTCCTCGGACAGAACCGATGTGTTGGTGCCCGTCGGTAAATTTAGGCCGTTTATTTCACTTTTAGGAGGACTGCGAGCTGTTATTCTGACAGTGATAACCATGACAGCAAGTCAGATCGCGTGTGCGATCTTTTCGCATGCTGTTGTTTTACAGTGATGGATGGCTGTATGACTGGTATCACGTATCCAAGTCTTTAACCGACGGTCTTCGCTATGATATCGGAGTCGCAAATTGGGCTCCAGGCTCTTTGAAATTTCTGTCGAGACAGCCCACGTTCAGACCACGCTCAGCACACGCCCCTCCCCCCCCCCTCCCCATGAGTGGCCCTTCAAAAATGCTACAAATGCGATGCATCAGATTATATGGGGAACCTTTACGACGTGAATGCATCGATGCACTCCAATGCGTAAGGATGCAGCAGCTCGGCATCTATCGTTGATTTGACAAGACCCGCATCCAGTCCGTAAATATCTATCCAATTTAACATGCTATGCATTTAACACAATCGTCCTTGTCCGATAACATTAATTGTATTTCGGGATTTTTAAAGAGCAGAATTTCATTCACATCGATGTTACTGGATGCTTTAATTCCTTGAAATGGCCCACGTGAAGCTCCCGGTCCTGGTTTTGTCAGTAACTGCGATTTCACGGATTTCTAGATAAAAGGTTACTGGTCATGTACCACATTTATTCGCGTGCAGACTAGATGAGATAGATCACCCTAAATCACATCCTACCCGATGTCATTACAGTAACTTTGGAACGAGAAAAGTTGAGGGAAAGGAAGACGCGGGTTTTAAGTCGGCTCGGCGTGGGGATTCGTTTGATGTGCGGCACGGGCGCGCGTTTCGAGTCGGCTCGGTGTGAGGATTCGTTTGATGTGCGGCACGGGCGCGCGTTTCGAGTCGGCTCGGCGTGAGGATTCGTTTGATGTGCGGCACGGGCGTGCGTTTCGAGTCGGCTCGGCGTGAGGATTCGTTTGATGTGCGGCACGGGCGCGCGTTTCGAGTCGGCTCGGCGTGAGGATTCGTTTGATGTGCGGCACGGCGGTGTTCGTTGAGATGTATTTTTGGGTGAGATATCTCACGGTCACTTTTGGGGTGAGAGCAGATTTTCCACAGCCTAATTTTTTATATAAAGGCTGACATGCTACGTGCACAACTACCGTTTGTCTTCAAGTCAGCAAAGACGTGGGAGGGACACACGAAACCAGCTCAGTTGCGTCTTTTTGGAAAACAAAGCATTTAGGTAGGAATAACAGAGGTTCGGCGTAACCTGCATTCTGTTAACTTCACGGATCAAAGGCAATTGCTTTAAGTACATGACATGTCTGATTTGGTGAACGTTTATTGATTGGATGTTGACCTCGTAAAACCAAAAAAGAAGAAGAAAGAAACAGAACTACCGTATTATTCTTGCTTGTCGATGTGCTCATGTCGTGATTGTCCTCCATGCAATCTGTTTTGCCTTTTTGAAGTGATCACTTGTATCGGCCGACTATGGACTAAAGGTGGGCTGAGCGTAGGTTGTCTTGACGGATGCCTCTTTGAAAGCCCTTCTGCATCGCGGCGCTGGGACACTTGGTGTACCGGGGTCCAACGCTATCAATTTTGAATACAGTACTGCAGAATATATCAAGGTGAAGGTCTGTACTTGGTGAACGCCCGATTGCGATCAATCATTTAATTCCAAGGTCCCTGGAGGTCGTGTAATAATCTCAGGCTACATCACATTATTCCATGCATCCCCTACCTCATGTCACATTAACCTTGTAGGTAAGTGATGGCATAATTTGAAATGGATCAATTTGACCCCGCGAGCGGCTTTGTTGAAACTGCATAGAAACCGCATCAATTCTGCTTGACCTCTTTAACGATACTTGATAACCGTAAGGAAACCCGCAAAATGGTATTTATAACAGTTACAAATGTACGGAGCTATCGCCCTGCTTGCACATTTTTGCTTTAGCATGTCGGTTACGGAACCGGAAAGGGAGTAGTGCCAACTCTGCATATGTCGTCGAATGCCGACAGGATGGAAAGCGCCACTAAACAGTGGTCCCGTGGTTCTCGCTCCAGCTGGAGTGAGCTGCTGTGTACAACGGTCCTCTCTCAGTAGCATCATGTTGGTCCTGCGTCGCTGCGAGTGCGGCTGCCGAGACTTGGGACAAGTTTTGGTTTGTGCTGTGTCGATTTTTCGGAGCTTGCGGATTAATATTTCTTTTCTTTACATAGCATAGTGGCAGACAAAATACTCAGCTTGGTTTCGATCCTCGCCCTGAATTGCGCAATAGTCACAATATGTTTTTTTATAAATCAAAGCTTATCAGATCCCATGACCTGGTCTGTTATTGATCCTTTGCAATGATTCAAAGCCAGAGTTGCTCCAATCTCTGTAACTTGGATCAGCTGATCAAATGATTAATTGCACCGAAATAGATGTGATGATACTGAGCCCAGCCGTGGTGCTAGACATTTCAATGCCGGCTTTCATTTAGCCTCACAATTAAAATCAAACTAAATTGAGTGAATTCTACAAGCGAGGCCGCAGGCTAAGCAAGTCTTATGTCAACTAACCGAAATTCCGGCAACTTGAGAGGGGTTCGGCCTCTCCCCACTGCGGTCCGGCCAGTCAGCATTTCGGCGGGTTATATCGCTGCAAGCTTTGGCCCGGGGCGAGTAGCACAATTATCTAGAGGCTGTGTTATGAGGCTTCCAAGACATCTACATGGCTTCATGACGCCACGCGCAATGAGCCAGGTGGCATCTAAAATGTTTCACCAAGCAGCGCATTTCTTGAACGCTGTCATATCTAAGATAAGGTATTGACAGCTTACGTCTATCTACCATGGCTTTGTATTTTGGTTTCTCAACCAGATGGGCGGCACAGAAAACAGCACGGATTGTGGCGAAATTTGCACTAATAGCTGCTCAAGCTTTGGGATGACCCACGCATAATTTCATGTCGGTCTGCCAGGGTGATAGTCGCAGCGCGGGGGACAAGGGGGTATGCTTTGTCATTTAACAGAGAGACATTTGTTCGCGAATGGGGGAAACAGGCTGCGCAGAGGCCAAGCCGTGGAAAGATACTGTAGCGGCTCGAATAGTGATAAGGTTCTCCAATTAGCAATAAGCTTCAGGTCCGCGCTTGGCATGTATTTTCCGAAAAGTGTAGACAAGCACTACGTGGGAAATGGTACACGTATCAATCGCACGTCGTTAAGCAGTACGTGTGAAATGGCACACGTATCAATCGTACGTCACTAAGCAGTACGTGTGAAATAGTACACGTATCAATCGTACGTCGCTAAGCACTACGTGGGAAATGGTACACGTATCAATCGCACGTCGTTGAGCTCGATACTACCAGCACCGACTGCGTCGACTCTTATTGTGGCAAAGTAAACTGAAGCCCCCGTCTTGAAAGCTACTAAATTAATATTGTGCGTCTGTCTGTATGTGCGTATGTCCGTATCTCCTAGCGGGACGCACAGCACATGTGGCTGCACGGATTGCGGTAACATTTGCACATACAATGGGTTGAACCTTCGTGGCGATCCACGGCATAAATTCACGACCGTCCAATACAGCTGTTGGTCACAGCGTACGAGAGAGGGGCATTTTTCGGCATTTGGCAGACATGCACCTTTCGTTTTTTAGGCGTAACGAGTTGTGCAACAGCCAAACCTTCAAAAACATGTCGCGAAGTCCCCTGCTCGAAAACATGCTCGCATCGCTCAACATACCTCCATAGTGGAAATTATGTTGAAATGCATGACTAACCTTAGGAAACTGGTAAGTTTGTATGCTGAATGGTATGGATATGTTACGCAACAAAATTGTACACCGGGAAAAAACACTGATGGGTATATATTTCACACTTCTATCCAAACAATGTCATATCTAAAGGGCAGACAAGGTTATTCATCTTGCCATTTGATTTCCGAGTTAACATGCAAGAATTTGGCGTGCACACATCCATGCTTCAGTGACTGAAAACGACTTAGTGCAGTTCATTAGAATGGTAGCGCCAAAAATATTAACGAAGATAAGACAGCAGTAAAAACCTGATTGCTCGGAGAAAAACCAGGAGAATAGGGATGTAGATTCGTTGATATTTTGCCAACATGTCTTTATCGAAACGAATGCCAGAAGTAAATATATACACACACACACACACACACATATATATATATATATATATATATATATATATATATATATATATATATATATATATAATAGAGGTGAATACGCTAAATGATATTCTCTTCTGCTATTCGTGTCGATAAAGACATGTCGCCGAAATATCAACGCACCTATATCTCCATTTCCTGGTTTTTCTCCGAGGAAAAGGGCTATTAATACTGTCTATGTGCATAATGCTCCTTACAAATGTACTTCGCGAATTGCGTCAAAATATAAATAACATGAGAAAAGGTTGGAATTGCTTTGCGTAGAAAAACCCGGAGTATAACTAAGCTGGCAATGAAAAACTTAAATGTCACCATTGATGAAAAACATGCTCGCAAAAATAGCACAAATGTGCTTGGGGAAACATAGTTTGGGTATTTGTACAAGGCTTTGAGGAGGGCAAAAACATTGTTTTATCACGCTATTTGGTGTTCTTTGGGAAACGCACTTGCCAGTTTTGTTTACCTCTGGACCCGCCATCATAGGCTTGCAAGGGATTCGAGAAAGGAGGGTGGCCAAAACCTCCATAGAAATTCGTGTTGCACTCTTAAGTGTCAAGCTGCTTTTCGTGTCCTTTAAAACGCCTACTTCTGGGGGAATTTTAGTTGTCTCATTTGATTCGTGGGCCATACTAAGGTGGATTGCACTCACTATACTTTTGGAATGTGACCAGCTTCTGCGTTTTGACATAGTGCTACTTATCATTATCGTCTCTTGTATTATGACTCTCAGTTTTCTTCAATTCTTGCCTAATTGATCCACATTCAGAAATGTTTCGTTGGATCAGGAATAAAAGCCAGAGTTGCTCCTACATGCTTGCTTAATTGCTTTATTGCTTGATTAAACTTTATTGGAATTATGATTCGGCACCCTACAACTTCAGTCAGAATGAATTAATTTCATGTAGAATAGCTTCAGTTTAGAAGAGAGTGCTGTTGAACCTGCCTGAACCTGAAAATTAAACTTGATTTGAACCATGATTGGGCACCCCAGAACTTCAGTAAGGATATATGTAATTCATGAAGCATAGATTTAGTTCAGAATAGAGTGCTGCTGAACCTGCATGTGACAGCGATCAGTGGTTGTAAGTAGATAAGGCCGCTAAAGGCATCGCTGACAGGGTTGTGGCGAGCCGGCTAGGCCGGTTCACTGACGCTATAGTTTCTGATCAGCTGACATGAGACACGCATAGCCTGTGGGCTCGTTTGTAGCGTTTGTGCACATATATATATATATATATATATATATATATATATATATATATATATATGACATGACATATGTTACATATTTATATTTTACGTGACATATTATATATATATATATATATATATATATATATATATATATATATATATATATATATATATTACATGACGTATGATATATATGCACATATCACATCACTGCAGTGACTTGGAAATGTTCACTACACGCATCGTTGAAAAGGTAAGCTAATGAGCTACATTTTGGCTGTCACAAGTAACCATATTTAGCCGAAACTGCTAAGGATCATGAGCATTTCTGCAGAAGCTTCAGATATTCTGATATGTTTTAATCGTTGGTTGGTGGAGCAGAGCTTTTGTGCATCGATGATACAAAAGGGAGGTTGAGGAGAGTTTTAAGCGATTTTCATATCCATAGGTTTTATTTGATACCCGTCAATGCCACACAGAACAAGTGCACTGTATTGGGGATCTCCGCTACCTCCTCCCACGTCCCGTGCGAGTTCACGGCAGCAGCATTTAAAGCAGCAGCTTCGCATGCTCTCTTTAAGCTTCATCTCGATCTTCTGTACCAATGACATCCCTCAACATTGTACTACACTGGTATAACGCGGTATTATAGGTTTTTATGGTGTGTGGCTGCGGATGAGACATCTGATGGGCGACAAATGGAGCCTTTCCCTGCAATGCCAATTTCCGAAAACGCGAGAAACAGACCAGATGGAGCGTCACTCCTGCAGACCCGAAGTGACGTAGATGAGTAAAAGCTGGGTCGCATCCGCGTTGGGCTTTCGCATAAAATACCGGACGCAATAGCCCCACAGCTTTTTGGGGGCTCCAGTCCCAGCCGCAAAGGCACCGCAGTGTCTCACGGGCGGCCAACTCCAAACTGAGGAGAGCACTAGCACCAAGGCGCTTTGGTGCCCTTGTGACATTAAATCAAAGGACGAGAACGCTGTAGTGTCTCAAGGAATCTGTAATCATGCATTAACGCCATCTGATATGCCTGGAAAGTGCGATAGTCGCTTCTACACGCTCGCCAGTGGTCGACAAGGCCACGTCACACCGCCTTTCACTAAGCATGGATGTAGTTCCGTGGGCAGGACACCAAATCGATGTAAATGAGCCGTTTGAGAGTTTCATGAGCAAGAAGAGAACTATGTCACTTCCATAAAGGCCCATGTCTTATTGGTGCACCCAGCTGAAATAAAAAAAAAACTATCCGGGCCATCGACCGGTTAATACGTGATACAGCGGATGTATCTTTGTTCAGTACTGCAGTCTCCAATAAGTTGGTGAAATACGGGATAGTCTACCAGCGCAGATAGACTGCATCGTACGTATTGCAACAAAAGCCGTTTGCCGTGCCGTATTCCGCCCCGAAACTAGCGCCAAAAAGTCTGGGGCAAGGGCCCAGGGAAATCGCCGAGGACCAGATGTTTGACCTTTCCCGCATGCACTTTTGCACCAACTCTAAACAATGTTATCGTCCATCATTATGTGCCGGCACCCGAACTCCGTTTCCGGTCTGCAGAATCACACATCAGTGAACTGGTTACACCGGTCCAGCCACCTTAATCTTTGATAAGGTTTTGTTTGAATGTCTTTTTCTTCATTTATTTTCTATTTAAACGTAAATAACGTAGAAGAATGCGGAAGAGCAGTACAGAGTACGACAATGCGGCACAGACTCATAGTGGTACGCAAGTTCAAAGGATGTCACACCTCGTTTTCAGAGCTTAAATGCTGTGCGGGAATGGTTTTGGCACAGGGGCGCAGTCATCGAGGGGCGGATGACACCTTAGCTGTTTACCCTTAGGGGATCGAGCGTGGTTTTTCAATAGAACACTACGAAATATAATTTCGTAACCTGGTTGTCAGGGAAAAAGTTGTTTTTTCATCTCATCGAATTCTATGGAAAGTGACACGTCCCGCCCAACATTCCTAATGTAGTGAAAAGGACAGTGGATAGCTGAGAGAACATGTGCGGTACGCACCTGGGGCAATTTTTCGGCGTCAGCTCACACTAACATTGATAGCCCACGGATACGTTAGGAGCAGCACTTTTTCGTTACTGTGGCGTCTGTGGTTTGTTCGCGGTGCGCAGGTACTGGGAATGCGGTCAGCATCCGGTCCTAAAGAGTTCTAGAGCTCTGTCGCGGATCACTGTAAGCCCCACCCCCCCCCCCCCCCATCGCCTACCCAACTATCGTGTCATGCGCTGGCATCAATGTATCCCCCACGCATAGATTGCTTAAAAAGACTGAGCTCATTAAGTCAGGACAGCAATTCCAATTCAACGATCGAATTTCGCGGACATACTTTGGAATGTCATGCTACGTCATGACACGGCCGTTTTGTGCAAACAAGTGCGAACGTTAGCTATTTGTGGAAAACGGCCTGGTGAGCGCGACGAGCCGCTTCTTTCACAATAAAAGATGCTTACAAAGATTACAGCAGGCTGAATAAAGCATTAGACTTACGGCTTTTGTCTCAACATGATTCGACCCATACGAATGACAAAAACCAATATACATTTGTAGGGTAAGATGAACATATCCAAAGTGTACAGGAAACCTGTGGTGCACTTAAACAATGGCATCCGTATGCACTGTGTGGACGTTTGTGTACATCCGTATGCAGACGTCCGTATTACGCTGCTGTACTCAAGCTGTCAGCAGGCCTGCGTCCTGCGCGACGCCGATATGCAGTCTGTCCGGCCCAGTGTTGCCGCCAGCCGTAACGTCCGTATTACGCTGCTGTACTCAAGCTGTCAGCAGGTCTGCGTCCTGCGCGACGCCGATATGCAGTCTGTCCGGCCCAGTGTTGCCGAGCCGTCACTTTTGAAACAAAACAAATCAGAAGCTCTGGCGTCCGCACCAGGTCGTTAACTAGAGGTCTGCATGATCGCGCTCTTTTAACTCAGCTCGACCTCTGCTTACCGCTTGCACTCGCACATACACTTGGAACTATGACGCATAGTCCCAACTGAACTACGAACTACGACGCATAGTCCCAAGTGCTAACAACTGGTACATTGGATGAGTGAGTGCCATTTGGTGTCTGCCTTCTGCAGAAATGCGGAAAAACTTATATCTTGATTTGTTTGAATCTGATAACCGTTTACCAGTGGCACAGCAAATGCAGGCCACCCGGAGGGAGCTCTGTACCAGCTGAGCAAGCAGGCTCGCCTCACAATGTATTACTATTACCCACGGGAGGGAGCATCATGCTAGAAAAAGGTTACGTGGTGAAGTGTTTGGGTGAGTAATTTGAAACGGTGAAATGCCGTAACGTCCCTAAATTGAACAGAGTTGGTGTAGCCGGGCCACACATACCCAGCCATATTACTGACCCCTGTTCTTACTTTGCCATATTAATGTCCCCCGTTCTTGCTTTGCCATATTACTGACCCCGTTCTTACCTTGCCATATTACTGACCCCCGTTCTTACCTTGCCATATTACTGGCCCCTGTTCTTACCTTGCAGCCTTCGCAAGACGTTACGCCGTAGTGGTAGCCTGAAGCCTTGTCTCCGCATACCCGACACGGCACGAATGTCTTGTTTGGCGACGAGGTGTTGGAGTCAGCGAGCACAACATTTTGTTCTGAAAAAGGACGAATCGTCATCACATTGCTCGATTACGCTTAATTTGTGTGACTATCGCACACAGATATGTTGCACATAAACACCAATAATTTAAACTTGTGCATGCTCTTTCCAAATTAGTTGTGCCTAGTATACCGAGTCTGGATCTGAAAGCTTATGAAAATATCATGTGGAAAAGCACCCAAACTTAAAAGTCTCATCCACCATTGACAATCGAGCCACGACGATGATTTCATGGCCTATTGACATCTGCTGTTTGGAAAACCCCTCCATCATTCAGCCCTTTATGACGCGGTCGATGGTAGCCGACCACTAAACGTCTTTCACAGAATTATCCAGATGGCTCTCACTCCAGCTGGGGTCGACGCTTCCCGCACCACCTACGCCGTGCCCATTCAAAATCAACCGTACCCATGCAAACAATCCATCGCAGTTCATCGAACTCTCCGCGAGCCCGGCTCGCATGGTAACCGGCGCTCAGACGCGCCGCCGTTCACAGGCCCGCCGAATGCGCAGCGTCCAGGGCGGCGCGGCGTGTTCGGGCGCCCCCCAGCCGGGTCACTCAGCGCCTGGCCGCGACCTGGCCGAGGCGGCGCCGCACCCCGACCCCGCCCACTCCCGCTCCGACTGCGGCTCCGGACACGGCGTGCGCCTGGGAACGGAGCGACGGCTGCGGCGCGCGCGCCGTCGGCAGCGACACGCCTGGGGCCGGCGCCGCGGGCGGTGCGCTGGCCAGCGTTGCCGCTGCACCGCTACGCCGAGGCGCCGTGGCGAGCGCGTTGGCCGGGGCCGGCCGGCCGTTATGAAGCGGCGGCGACCGACGGCATGTCGTGACTCGACCGAGCACTGCCGGGCGGACGGGGGCGGCGTCAGGACGGGCCCTCCTAGGGTAGGAGCCGATCCAGGAACAGGGGGCAGGGCAGGAACCATTCCAGGAGCAGGGGTCAGGGCAGGGGCCGTCCCAGGAACAGGAGGCAGGGCAGGAGCAGTGGCGGAAAAGAGGAGACAGAGTGGGGTCCGGGAACAAGGTGTTGATGTTGATGAACTGGGAATGGAGAATGGAGAGAGACAAGAGGGTTGATGGGAGTAAAAGGCGGGTGCGGATATAAACGGTGTCGAGAGAACAATTAACAGGATGGGCGGCGATAAGGACAAAAGAAGAATTGGTCACCACGAACGGTTTCAAAAAGCAGGCGTGGAGCAAAGGCAGAGTCTGAAGTCAGATATCGATTTTATTTCAAAAACAATATTAGCAAACTCCTGTAACTTTGTTTGTAGGGCGCTGGACACTCCGACATATGTGTGTAAGGCGCATGGGTTTGAGCCCCAGAAACTGCCTTTTTGTGACTTCCCTTTGACAGTTAATTGGCAACTGGTCAAGAGAGCTTGTTCCACCACGGCGATCCAGCACAGCAGAGGAGGACAGGCATGTGCAGCATGAGATAAACACGTAAGGAACCCCCGAACGAGGGAACCTCCACGGAAAAGTCACCCTAACCATTACTAAGCCACAATTTATGAACACAGCCTTTGCAGATCATGGCAAAAACCAGAGAAGCCGAGTAAGTGAGCTGTGAGCAAGGCATGATAGACCGCGTTGACGCCTTTGAGCATTTGCCATCAAAATGTGCATAGGAAGCGCCGCTGCAGCAGCGGTGTACCCACGTTTTCATCACCGTGGTGGCAATGAAGATAGCTATAATAACAAGTGCTCGACCTTACCGCTCAGATGGGATACGATAAAGCAAAACGAATATAAGAAAAATGCACGTCCTCAATCAAGATGTGTTCTCGTACTAAGTTATTGCAACAAGTATGCGACCACGTAAGTGACAAAACACATGAGGTTTTTGGCATATCAAGCGCATTTATTAACACGTCATGAAATCCTAGTCGCAATTTTTATGCCACATCCCATGGGTTAAAGACTTCTCCGCGGCACGAGAGACTTTCACAGCATGGTTTGTTGCATTCTTTGCTGACATGAACGTGTCAAATGCACACATGTACGCATAATGCAAGGATTAAACACATGTCCGACACTGGATTTCAGCACCTGCTCGTCAGGCCACAGCACCATGCTACAGTGTGAACGATTACATCAGCTTGCTCACCCATGTACAGTACATATGTTTTCCGACTAATGCTTGCGCACGTTTGCAGCGTTCATAAAAGTGTGGACCAACTTCATTGGTTTATTTCTCATGGCCACCATAAGCGTGACAGTCTGGCATATTGTAGCCAGTGTAGTACAATCGTGTGTTTATGTGCGTGTGCGTTTGCGCAAACGAAAAAGAAAATCCATCTTCTGGGGAGTAAGACACAACCCATACTGCTCAACGTTGGACAAATAAAAGCTTTCAGTCCAGCTGGGCCTTTAAGCATGTGACGTTCTCCAAAGGATTCATGTTAAGAGATACAGATCCGTTTCAGGTCTTAAATACCATCTGACCTTCTCGATAGTTGCGTAATTTTGGACCCAAGAGATACCAGAAGCAGAGCTCTATCACCGATTAATGGCTGGGGATGATGGCTATGACCAATTAAGGGCAACATTCATGGGACGTTTCTCCATGCAACGTTGTTGACATAATGCTGCGTTCACAAATATTGAAGAAGGGGGCGTGTGCATTGCACTGCATTCCCTGCGGTAGCAGAGCCCATACCAGAAACCCATTTTTAAGCTTAAAATCTAAACGTGCTGCTCAATGGGCTCTCTTGATATGAGGCTTCTACCGTCAGGATCATAGGATGCAGTCCTCAGCTGGGGCTCTATGATGTGCCTAGTGAAGCCTGAAAGGCGGGGTCGGTAGTTTTATGGGTACTGGTACTACCCTGAACACAACCAACGACTGGATGAAAGAGCAAAGGTTTCCACGCCATCACAGAAACGCAGTATTCCACAGAATCATGCATGGCTATTCGTGGTGAATTCAATGGTGCATGATGGCCCTCCGGGTGAAAGGCGACCTATATTTCCTCTATGTATCGTGTCAAGTCGCCCAATTACGATGGCAATGTTGTGCAAGGCACAAGAGACAACACAGCCAGCCCACACCAGTCTTCCCTCTAGATGCCTAGAGGAGCCACCTCAGCCTTCCCACAAGAGCGGGGGACATCGAGTGGCGCTCGCCGATCTGCGGCAGCGGCGTCGCCCCGTTCAGCAGCGCAGGTACAGCGGCCAGTCCCGTTTTGGCGGCAGTAGCCTGCCGGGCGTGCCGGCCATTAAAGCCACCGTTGCCAGGGTAACGGTGTGGTGCTCGGCTGGCAACCCGAGGCGCCGCCGCCACCATCGGTCCAGTCACAGCGCGCTCGCCCGCGGCCACCAATCCGCGCACAGTTACACCACTGCCGACCGCGGTCGTCCACGGGAATGACATTAATGATGCACCCATATCACGGCTCGGACGAACCGCCTGACGTTTCACGCTACATGAATGACCAGATTGCTGGCAATCTCAACATTATATCGAAATGTTGGTGCGCATGTTCAGCAAACCGAACAACTACGAACATAAACAGGCACCAGTGCACAGATTATATGGGCAGGAAAAGGGATCAGGAGGCTCTACCCCAGTTTTGTGCAGGTTTAAAATTTAGCTTATCGTGCCACGTGGATAAAATTGTCTTCAAAATGGGATTCGACCAACAATTTTCATGATAATCGTTGGCCCTGCAATAGGTGTAGTGCTGGATTTTCCTGTGCTCGTAGACGCTCCATCAAATATGCGCCACATTCACTGCACAAACCATGACTAGGAGGGAAAAGTGCTGTATCCCAAAGACTGAGGTGGCCTGCAGGCGGTATTCGAGACAAAACGGCATTCTGTCGTCTCCGGTATTGATAACCATTAAAAGTCTAGGCTGTTTTGTTTGCTACTCTGCAGCAGTCCTGGTGCGTCACATTACCATCTTGACTTCAGCATCCCGCTCCTCCTTTCTCTACCACTCTTTCTCTCTCTCTCTCTCTCTCTCTCTCTCTCTCTCTCTCTCTCATCTCTTCTCTCCTCTCTCTCTCTCTCTCTCTCTCTCTCTCTCTCTCTCTCTCTCTCTCTCTCTCTCTCTCTCTCTCTCCTCTCTCTCTCTCTCTCTCTCTCTCTCTCTCTCTCTCTCTCTCTCTCTCTCTCTCTCTCTCTCTCTCTCTCTCTCTCTCTCTCTCTCTCTCTCTCTCTCTCTCTCTCTCTCTCTCTCTCTCTCTCTCTCTCTCTCTCTCTCTCTCTCTCTCTCTCTCTCTCTCTCTCTCTCTCTCTCTTCTCTCTCTCGCTTCCTGTTTCTTCCTATCTCTCCATTTTCTTTTTCACCATCTCGGCATCAGCTTCGCTCTCTCCACTCCCGCGTCCGACTCCTCTCTCTCTCCTCCAGCGGGTCCCGGGCGGCAATCAAGCGAGCCACCACTCTTTCTCGAGTCCCGTTATGGCCCGGCCCGGCAGGCCACTCTTCCTGCGCACTTTCGATTAGGCGGACCCGCCGGCCGCCGGTGGATTCCAAGACGTGCGATAATGCTGGCCGCCAAGGCGCTCTGTCAGAGCGGGGATCAGGACACAGATCGAGATGGGCGAGTTGGGAGAACACTCAGGGATGGCCAGTTGGCGGATTAGGACACAGGTCGAGATGGACGAGTTGGGAGAGCAGTCAGGGCTGGCCAGTTGGCGAAGGAGCTGTGGTGCGGATGCGTTTTCGCGAATCCGGTTGGTTAAGTAGGAACACGAAAACAACTAATCTCGCAAAACAGGTGCCCACGCTGGAGAGATTGTTTTCCTACTTTCTGCCTCCTGGCAAATCGGCATTAAGCGTTATACCTTTGTTTTGCCTGCATGCTTGCCATGAACACTGACACAACCAGTGTGGCGTTTTTTTAAGCAATGATAAATGCTGACTGGAAATAGCGGGAAACGTAACCACTGCGCATTTGCGGGGTTACGCCTCACGCTATTTCTGAAACCAGCAAACAACTGGCTTCAGAAGTAGCACTTCATGCAGTCTTGGCACCCAACTGGC